ACTTGTAAAAATTTACAAGTGAATTCGTTACATGTGTATACATATATATATATACATGTATAAGTTCTCGCTCAACACTTTGAGAACGGCTCGTAAGGCCTTATATTCATTCATTGGTTTTTTTTCTCAGTTAACTACATGTGAAAAGTTACTACATAAAAAGTTGCAACAACACGCTGAAAAATATACAGATAAAAATACGGAATCTATTGAACTACTAATGTCTCATACATTACAAGAATCCTTGCCGACAAAATGAAAAAAAGTTGCCATTATTTTCTGGGATTCAGAAATCAAAAGAAAAATTTTAAGTTTTTTCGCAGAGAAATTCCGAGTTCAAGCAAGAAAATACAGAAAAATGTGATATGTGGAATAATAGACGAGATTTTAAAACAATTTCGATATTAATGTAAGCAATGCGTGCGTAATTGCGCACAACAAGCATCGGCTTATCACATCCGAATGTGATTATGAACTTATGATAAAGTTCACGTAAATTTATTTGCGCTCTTCAAAACCAAGTTAAAATTTAATACTCGTTGCGTTCAAATAAAACTGAGACATTTTTTCTTCAGGAACATGCAATGACAAATTGTTTAGTGCTTCGACGTTCAAATGAGATATTTTATAAGTAAACTGTATTATTGATGGAAAATACTATGAATTTATGTTATTCCTGAGTTTTGTTATGCTTTTACAGAGGCTATCTCATACAAAACTTGTAAATTTCTTCTGATAACAGTACAAATATATCTATAATATATCTATAATATATCTATAGATATATTAGCAAAATATTCAACGTAAAAATAAATAATAACATTGAAACACGAGATTATTTCCGAATATTTTCTACTCTTTCTGAACGCAAAATTTTTTACGCTACATATTTTGTATCGGCTGGAAGTCCACTCTTGATAATCACGAATTTTTTCTACTGTAAAGTTGTACAGTAAACAGTTTTTTTATCATTATTGTTTTATCTTAATATTGATTTGTAAATAATTGTTATAATAACATTCAGCAATATTATAAATTACGCTAATTTTAAACAACTATTAATAATATATCAATAATTATCATAATAAAGTGATTGAACGGATTACTATTATTATTCTATTATTACTTTTAACGGATTACTATTATTATTCTAGTAGAGACGAAAGACTTCATTCTAACTTGAATGTCGTTCCAAAACATTTTTTAATACATATATGTGGCACGTGTTAACGACGAGCATTCCCCATTCTGAAGACATTCACGTGCGTCGCGCAAGATATTTCGAGACGTCTCGACGCATAGTGACGCATGGAGTGTATCAGGCACGAGTGAAGTGACGTGACATGATCCGACCGTGACGTGCAGTGCACAAGAATTGGCTCTCGATAGACCGCATTTAAGATAGAGACGAGTTATGCTTGAATAATGATCGAGAGTAATTAATATACCAGGTGCTTCAGAAATCACTTACTAATATTCCCGCGTTTACTAATTAAGTAGTAGACAGCAACTAATTGTAAGTAATAATTAAACTTTTAATTGGTTTAAGTGCCTATAGCCGCTCAACCGATATCGCTTAAACGGTGTTAAAAGCGCTTGGGAGTGTTTTTGTAATTATCATATCATATCATCGGTATTCATATATTCTTATATTACTGCAATAATTCATATATTCTTACATTAATGCAGTAATTCAGTTTTGACTTTTAGGCCCGATTTCTTCATACCTCCCGATAACTATCCTCTACATAAAGATATACAAAAAGATATACTTTATCTTTTAGATAAAGTTATCCAAAACTTATTTAGAAATTATTTGAAGAAATTGAACATTTATACTTTCTACAAAACTTATATACTTTGCGTGATAAATTTCGCCGTCTGTCACACGTGCTTTGCATTAGACTTCATTGTAGCAAAAGGGTTTAGTATGGTACTAAAACGATAATAAACAACAAATAATCGAATAATATTATACTAAATCTCTTGGTAACAATAACAGAAAAAGTTTAATAACTACCAATATTAAACTCTTTTAGAGTAACTCTTTTATAGTAGTAAAATTAAAACTTTTACAGTATTAAAATTTATTTCTTTTGCACTGCGAAGAGATGAGAGAGATGAGAGAGAGAGAGAGAGAGAGGGAAGAATGTTACAACTTGTATTATTATTGTAGTTTAAACAGTGTTATTAAAAGTATAGTTATATATATTATAGTATACATATACACAAGCATGGCGTGTGTCGTTTCTATTAAAAGAAATAAATGATGTACAATAATTTTAGTAGTTGATGAGTAATGTTAATGTAGTTCAAAAGAAGGAGAGAAAATGAAGTGTAAACTTGACACACATTAAGACACGGAACTATATATTATATAAAGGTCAAACTCTATCTATTTTTGTATTATTCAGAATTCTCTCTAAATCACGTTGCTGTATGTAGTAGCTACTTGCACAAGATTTTATATTAACAGTGCTGCGAATCAGAGAAAACTATTCTCTACTGTCGTAGGAAAGAACGCGACTCTTTTTTTCTAGCGGATCTCGCGAAGATCAACGGGAGAATCCGCGACCGAGCCGTCGCGTCATTCTTAAGCATTGCAAATGTTACCGGAGTCGCCGAACTTCTTGTGAGAAAAAAGCTGCGACTTTCACCCAATCGATGTTTTCGATCGGTGCCGTCGTTACTCACTTTGCTCTTTCTTCCTTTTTCTCTCTCTGTTTTTCTCGACTCGTCGCACGTGCACAGTCAGTGTTTCACTCCGTATGTACGCTTCTTCACAAACGTATTATGTACAAACTCACAACAAACATACATCACATACTATATGTACATCGAGGTGAAAAACAACTGACCGCGACGACGTCTGCGCGGGCACTGAGCAGTGATGAAAGTTTTGGCAGGCTAGCACCAAGAGCACCGAGGTGGTGGGGGCACGCACACAGCGAGAACCGCCGTCCGTGTGCGTGACGTCACGCTCGGCTGTTCGGCTCGTGGAAGAGTGCAGACGTACTATGTTCCGCCTCGCTTCCACCAA